GGGGGGGTCAATACCAACGTCCTGTCAAGAAGCGAGAGCTTCAGAGGCTTGCTCATAGTTAGTTCGTCCTCTCTCTGGACCCCTGCGGGCCGTAGGCTAGGCCACCCGCCCAGTGCGACTGCGCACCATTGCCTACCTACCAGGCGCCCTCTTCTCCTTGGAACAAAACCACTCCAATTGTCTAGATATTGCCCCTATTTGTAAAATGTACCGCCCAGCCCCATTGACAAGTTACCTCACTACAACTAAACTCTATAACCCCCCTCTCTCTCCCCTCCCTCAGCCGCCTCTTTCCCGCGATGCAGCGTGTCGGACCCCAAGCTCTCCAGCTGCCTCAAGTCCGCCGTCCAGGTCGTCATCCCCGAGCTCGTCAAGGGTGAGTGTAGCGCCGACAGGGGCTGACCCGACACCACGTGACTTTAGGGGGTCCAAATTACCATGGGGTCCCAAAAGGTTGAGGGCGGTCATTGGTGTCCATAGGGACCCCGAGATATTTTTACCCCGGGGTAGGAATATCATGGGGTCCGTATGGACACCAACAACCGCCCCGCAACTATTGGGACACTATACTGTTAGGATGAAGGCACGTGGATTGCGCTCGATCCCTTTGCTAACGCTCGTCCCCGCCGCCAACAGGCGTGCCCAGCCTGGGCGTCCTGTCCATCGACCCCATGGAGATCCTGGCGGCTGACATCAGCGGCGCGCCCAAGGGCTCCGTGGCCATCTCGCTCAACTTCAAGAAGCTGCGCATCCGCGGGCTGGGCTCGGCCGAGGTCATGAGCATCAGGTACGACAGACCAGATTCGACGCGTCCTAGGGGGGAAAAAGGGGGGGGGAGTATAAGTATGGCATCATATTACGTCCAACACCGATCAACATAGCGATCGTATGGTATTTTTACCCCGGGTCACAAATATCATGGGGTCCATATGCACTCCAATGGTGATCGTAAATCTGATGGGAGGGCATAGTATTTGTACCCCCTCCCCCCCCTTCCCCCAACACCAGAAACGTACCATCTCAACGGTCGGACGCGCTTGCGCGCTCGACATTCTCATACTCATCGAGCTTGTCCTCTCGCCAGCTACGACCCCAAGGCACACCGCATCTCGATGCGCGCCAAGGTGGCCGCCCCCCTGAGGCTGGACGGAGGCTACACCATCGACGGGCGCGTCCTGGTGCTCCCCATCACCGGCTCTGGCCAGTGCAGCCTGCAACTGGGTACGTACCAATGGGTACTTAAGTACTAACAAGATCTACCAAGTACTACTAAGTACTACAAAGTTCTACTAAGTACTATTAAGTACTATTAAGTACTACTAAGTACTACTAAGTACTACCAAGTACTACTAAGTACTACCAAGTACTACTAAGTACTACCAAGTACTACTAAGTACTATCAAGTTACCAAGCATTGCATGCATAGGTTGCGATCGGTTGTCTTTATCTCGATTCTTGCTGCCCCCATAGACGACGTGACGGCCGACCTCACCCTGGCGGCGCACGAGATCACGAAGAACGGGCAGAAGCACCTCGCCGTCGACAAGCTTTCCCTCAGCTTCGACACCTCCAAGCTGCACATGAGATTCGACAACCTGTTCAACGGCAACAAGGAACTCGGTAAGTCAATCAGCGATTCCTTCATTTCCCAGTCAGTGAGTCAGTAAGTCAGTCAGAGAGAACTCACCGCCACGCTAATCTGTCACGCGCTCTGCCCCCCACAGGAGACACCATGAACACTTTCCTGAACCAGAACTGGCCCGACATCCTCCGCGAGCTGAAGCCCTCCATCGACGACACGTTCGGGGCCGCGTTCCAGGCGCTCGCCAGCCGCATCTTCGCCAAGGTGCCCTACAACAACATCTTCCTGCCGTGAGCCACGTTCGACGACGGGACCGCCGTGATCGTCTCGGCTTGTGAAGAGGCCACAAAACTGCCTTTGAAGTCACCCTGCTACCCCTTTTTCCTTAAGGGTGGCACCGCTCCGGAAAACGAAGTGGATCGCAGCCGTCGCAGTCCTATCGAATGTTCAAACGCTTGATATGAGCCCAGTGTTTAATGTTTAGTGCTTCTAGTTGACAGATCCAAACGTCTTTAAAATAAGTGTAATAAATAAAGAATTTAAGTAAACTAAGTTTTCTCGTTGTTGTGTTTGTGGTTTTAGTGGCCCCCACACACGATGGGTGTAAACCTGTTTTGGACGGGGGTTGGTGAACCAGAGCGCGAGGCGCTGCGGCTGGTGCGTTTGGTGTGGTCTGGGGTCAGTACACTGTCAGAAATGAGTGTCGTGACATTTTTTCAAGCAATCTCCGGTAACTCTTTTTACATCCGAAAATGATTACATACTCTTAATTCTGTTGCTCGTAAATAACTAGAATGCTCATCTTTGAACTCGATCTGTCTTTTTAAGATACAAAACAACCCTAAAAACCCCAGATCGCTAACTTAATTTGTTATCGAGTTATCGTGCATACAGACAGACAGACAGACAGACAGACAGACAGACAGACAGACAGACAGACAGACAGAATGAAACTTTTTCGGTCAGCCAATAATCGCTCAGCAAATGATTGATTATCACCATCTTACACATAGGAAAATTGAATGAGCTTAAAAATGCCGAGTTACTTTTCTGACACTAAGCCGGCAAGTCAAATACTTTTCGGCTACCTTTGTGTGTGTATTTCACTGACAGAGTGTACGTACGTCGGGGGGCAATGGTCGGTCAACCGCCCCTTTCCCCCGCACTTCACCAGCGCACTGGGGTCAGCGCGACGGCCGGCTACACAAGTTCGCGCCCTCACCACCGAGCACACCGATTGCATCAGGTCCCCATCTCGTGACCGGAAATGATGTTGAGCTGGGAAAAATCTGCAGCGAAGGGGAAGAACACGGGAATTTGTGTGGCGGCGACTCGACTGGCGTTTCTGTGATTTTTCGACTGTATTATTTTGTCTTCCATCGCGTCTCAGGGGTGTCGAGTTCGAATGTGCCGCCGATTGGAGTGAGGGGAGGGGGAGCGGGGCGGACGGTGCGTAAGTACAGGGAGCGCCCCGCCTGTATCGAGTTTAGGCGGCGGAACACGGTTAGCAGCATCACAACCCTCTCGAAGCCCTGCAGCATGCGGGTCGGCCGGGGGCCGGGGGCAGAGGCCGTCAGCAAACTGTCCAGACCATGGCGAAAATATGGGGGGGGGGGAAGAGGGGAGAGACAGACACAGAGACAGAG